TATTTTTCCAGTATCTTTCCAGCATGTTAGTAGACTCTGAGGAATGCACTAGTCATCAGATACAGAAGCAAACTAAATATTTAACAGAATTCATGTCAGAGATAGATTTAGCTACCTGGACTGATGCTGAATACAATTAATACAAGCTTTCCCCCAAATATCCTATTCAGGCAGTGGAAAGGTTTTAAGGACTTTTAAGAACATTAAATCAAAGTTGACTCTTTATTGAAATTCAGGAAATGCATTTGGATTCTCCCCAAAAGAAACACAACTAGGGTTTTCTTGATCTTTCCTTACAGTTGAGTACTGATTTGCTTATCTGTTCTTTTTTTTAAATGTGAATTCATGCATAGCAATACTATCTCTGCTCAGTTAGAGCTATTTTGCAAAATCTGTTCCCTGAGATAGAATCATTAATCTGGCCATATTAGATTTCTGTACTGATAAATAAAATAAGGTTAATTCAGAATTAGGCTGAATTTTGCTATTTCCTATGATGTAGACTTTAAAGTGCTGCTAAATAAGTAGAGATAACATTTCCTTCAGCTTGCATTGTAACTTCCTTAGCTATTGCAAGAGGAATGAAAGGAAAGGAGTCCTTGCAGGGATGTAACTGTTTTTTTTCCTGGTTGTAACTGATTAGAGGGGTTGGCATTCACCTCCATTTCAAGGGCCATTGAGCTGGCACTGTCCAAAGATGTTTCATTGGTCATGTGTCATGGAATGCTGTTTCCTGCCCACAGAAGTGATACCTATTCATCTACTTCCATTTGCATGCTTTCAAACTGATAGGTGGCCAGGAGCTAGTTGAAGACAGGTGCTCTCCCTGTTGCATGACACTCGGGTCTCAAACCCAGGCTGTTATCTTTCCAGCTGACAAATCCAGTGTTTTAAGCCATCACACCATCCTATGGACAAAAGTTTATTTTCTTTGGGGTAGGATGTAGAAATGAGTTTTTTCTTCCACTTTGATTTTCTGAAGAGAATTTCCACAAAACATTCTTCTGTGGCCTTGATAGGATGAACCTGGTTCAAGAAAAATTAGCAACAGTCAGACACTGACAATAAGCTGACAATCCAGATATTGAAGTTTTGGATTAGAAGACTACTTTGTTGTTTTAATAATGCTGAAGGAAGCAATGGACTTTGTCAGTTTCTGAGAATTGTTGGAGAATCATCTATTTTATTCCTTCTTATAGTGACTATTGATGCCACATCTTTTCTCAGGGAGATTGATAACAGATTAAATCAGGCAAAATTCTAGAAGAATTACACAGTAAAACATAACACAGTAAATTAGATTAAATCAAATAATGTTAACTGCAGTAAATAGAAAAAAGGCTTTTGAATAACATCATGTTAAAGCAGTGTGCAGCGGCAGCCAAAAAGCCAATGCAATCCTGAATTGCGTTAATAGAGGGATACAATCAAGATCAAGTGAGGTATTAGTGCCACTCTATAAAACCTTAGTAAGACCACACCTAGAGTACTGTATCCAGTTTTGGTCACCACACTATAAAAAGATGTTGAGACTCTAGAAAAAGTGCAGAGAAGAGCAACCAGGATGATTAGGGGGCTGGATACTAAAACATACAAACCACAGTTGTAAGTACTTGGCATGGCTAGTCTAGCAAAGAGAAGATCCAAAGGAGACATGATAACAGTGTTCCAATATTTGAGGGGCTGCCACAGGGAAGAAGGGGTCAAGTTATTTTCCAAGGTACCTGAAGGGCAGACAAGGAATAATGGAAACTGATCAAGGAGAGATTCAACCTAGAAATAAGGAGAAATTTTCTGACAGTGAGAACAATCAACCAATGGAATAGCTTGCCTTCAGAAATTGTGGGAGCTTCATCAATGGAGGCTTTCAAGAAGAGATTTGATTGCCATTTGTCAAAAATGGTGTAGGGTCTCCTGCTTGGACGGGAGGTTGGACTAGATAATTTACAAGGTTGCTTCCAACTCTGTTAATCTGTTAATCTGATTAGAATAGTTAACATTATTCTTAAACAATTTCTGCATTTACCAAGTAATTTTCTGTGAATCTCAAAAACAACTTGCATGGCCATTCTGGAGAATGAAGACACTTTGCAGGCTATATGCCTTTAGTCCAGGTTTTGGGAAGTCTCCCCCTAAATCCTAATGGAAACAATAGCTATACCAATGACTAAATGTGTCGTCTGGATTTGAAGCTGAAAGACCTTGAGAAATAGGGTACCAATAGAGTATGCTTCATCAACATGGGTTTCACATATTCCAAAAATTGTATTATTTTATGATATGAGAAAAAACATTTATACATAATTTAAGATTATTCTTCATTAGCAATTCAAACTTCCTTCTAAAAAGTAATATTCAACCCAAGCATACTCCCTGTGGCTTCTACAGAATTAACAGTCAGTTAAAAAGAAATAACAATTGAAGTTTTTGTCAGATGGGATTTAAAAATAGAAAAAGAGTTGATGAGGCAAGGAATGATACTGAGAAAGGAAAATAACACTTCTTCCCCCAAAATATTTTGTTAACAGCTGACAGAAGTGGACCAAACTTATTTAAGAAAGGTTTACAGGAAAACTATTTGCATTAATCCAACAATACATTGAATAACGCACTGCAAAGCAAAAGTGAAGAGGTGCTGACAAAATAAACCATTGGATGAAATTTGCTTATTGTTGTGTTCAGTTAAAATAGTTGCTTATTGCAGCTATGCAAAAATAGATGATCTATGCACTTGAGAGGCACAAAGGAGACTACACACCTATTGTATACTTCTTGATAAAGCCTTGATGGGAATTTGTCTTGCTGGATAGATAAAACATGGAACAGCCTGAATACTCCTTTTGTGAGGAACACATTTGAAGTTCCATTTGTCATTGACCATGTAGCCAGGAAGGAAGTTGTAGTTCAGCAAGGATTACTGGCTAAGTGGTAAATCTAAGCCTAATTAATTTCCAGTTTTAATTCTTGTCCTGGTGTTCATGTCCACTTTTAATATCCCTGCACCAATCCTTTCTGCTTTTTCCAACATATTCCTATTGATGATTTTAGTTATAGTGGTAGAAGAGTCTGTAAGTAAGAAGAAACAGAAAGAAAGTTTTCTTTGTCTTTCTGTGTATCACCTTAACCAATGTGATTCAACCAGTGTAACAACTGGTTTGGTGAGCATGTGCTTTGTGCATGCGCTCAGCATTTTAAAAAGCCCATTTTCAACTCTAATACTTACCTTCTGGTGAGTAAAACAGCTGAGGTGCAGCAAACTACTCTGCCACACAAATCAGCTGTGCTAAAAACCCAGGAAATAAAGCACAGGAAAAAACAGGGGTGTGTGGGCGGGGGCAAATACTCACCAGAACTACCAGTTCACCAAAACCAGTCTGAACCAGTAGAATCCCACCACTGACCTTGACACTGTGACCTTGACTACTATGTAGATAGCACACAAGCCAACAGAATACTTTTGTTCTCTGACAGAAGGGAAAGGGGGGTATATATTTTTTAAAAAACAAGACGTTATATATTCAGTTATTTTTCTTTTCACTTGGTGGTGTTATTCAGTATGGTGAATTGTTGTTCACGTTCTTTTTGAGATAAGGGGAGGGAGAATGGAAATTTCTGCTTTGGTAATTTATTCATGTAATGTGCCCAAAAGGTGCTATATATGCCTAGGTAGATTCAGAGAAGAAGAGTTTTGCAAATTAGACATGAAGACATAGACCAAAGCAGTAAGGATTAATTGCAAAGTGGAAGATTGATCACAAAAAAAATATGTTAAGATCCTTTCTTCATCTCAAGTGCTATGAGGTATTTGCCTCAACTACTGTAGTGTACAAAAAAAAAAGGCAAAACTCTTTGGCAATCCAGTCTCCAACTGTTTGGGGCTTTGCTATTTAATAATAGCATGTTGCAAAAAAAACTTATTTTCATCCAGTATTACAAGCTCCATTATTCAGTTGGAAATTCTGCTTAACAACTGGGTCATAACATTCTGCTCTACCTGTTTCTCTGTGGTTGGAGAAGTGGGTGGGATGGTCTTCAACAGAAGTGAAGACTGATAAAACATAAAGGTAGCCATTGTCATGGACCACACTTTCCATTTCAAATGTGAATGGAGAACTTCAAAAATTTGAGAAGTTTGAGCTTCAAAAGGGAAAGGGAAAATTTATGACACCATGGTTTAATTCCCTATGAATCAACTTTAGAATATTTTTCTATTCAGTACAGAGGGTTGGCAGTTTTGGGATGGGGAATTTAGATATTTGGAAAATTGGTTGGTAGGCTACTTCCATGAAATGCCAGTCCTGGTGAGCAAATTATTCAAATGGTTATGGTAGTAATAGATTAATAGAAACATTTTTTCTTTTTGTGTTAATATGTGGTATTGCAAGTAAAAATGAGTTGGTAGAGTTTTTTGAACCTGTATTAGAACGTACTGCCTGTTTATGTTTGGAAGTTTCATTTTAAGGTAACAAGGGCTGACAGGTCCTCTATCTGCCCATAGTATATATCCTTTAGAATAAATTCACAGAATATACTAAATATTTATTTTAAATCAGGGGTTTCAAACTTGATTTCACTGAGGGCTGCATCAGGGTTGTGTTTGACTTCAGGGGGCCAGGGTGGGCATGGCCAGCTCGATATCACTTGTGTCAGGGATGCCTGTGGTGGCCTGAGTGCTCTGCCAGTGAAAACGGGATCCATTTTCGGCTGCCTCCTGCAACCCTCTGCCAGTGATAACGGAGCTAGGGAGGGCCACCTCCCGGGCTCCTTTTTCACTATCAGAGGTTGCAGGAGGCCGTGGCAGCCAAAAACAGAGCTTGGGAGTCCAGTTTTGATGGAGGAAGTATCACGGGTCAGTCCTTCACTGTTTCCAGGGCAGCCCCGTGGGCCAGATCTAAGGACATCATGGGCCGGATCTGGCCCCTGGGCCTTGACATCCCTGTTTTAAACCATAAGGTATTTGTAATAATGCCTAGCTTATAACTCTTTCTCTTTTTTTGCAGGATTTATTTATACATGTGGTGGGACTTTAAAAGGACTCAATGGTACTATAGAAAGTCCAGGCTTTCCATATGGATATCCAAATGGTGCAAACTGTACGTGGGTCATAATTGCAGAAGAAAGAAATAGAATACAGATAGTATTTCAGTCTTTTGCTCTAGAAGAAGAATATGACTATCTATCATTATATGATGGGCATCCTCAACCAGCAAATTTCAGGACAAGGTAAATATTCTTTTTGTCTTACAAAAAACATTCTTGGTACAAATTAAAACCTTGGATTAATCTTTTCTGGCAACGTTCATAATTAATGCTATCACATTGGTCCCAATGGTTTCCTTTCCCTTTTGTTTTCCTAAATTCAAATTACAGAGTGAGATTTACTCAAATATATTGTGGCCCACTCAGTTGTAGGCTGACAACTCCTTTGACATAAACGCATGAGCTTTTGTAAAAATGGCACATTTAGAAGATAAGAAACTTGCCACATCCCATTTATCCTTATAGGTGTTCTACTATATACCTTGACAAAATCATATTAAAATGTATGATCTATATGCAAAGAGTTTGAAGATCAATCAATGGACACCTCTTTTTCTTAAATGTGATCACATATTGAAAAGCTTAGTTTCTGATGTTTAGAAATTACTACAAAAATTAGTATGTATTTGCCCCTTATTTCAATATATAAATTCTATATTCATATATGGAATGTTGTAATTCTAATTCCATATATACATTATGTGTGTACAGTATATCTCTCTGTATGTGTGTATTTCTATCTGGCTATCCTATGATGTAGTGGCTATCTAGATAGAAAATACTGAATGTATTTTTAGCTGCAGGTAATATATGCCAGATTAAATATTATGTTACGTCATATATCATGTATCATCTATATCAATGATCTTTTATATACTGTCTCTCTGTCTATCATCTACTATCTACACACACCACTTTTTGTTCATTCAACAATATTGTGGAAAACAACAATAACTTCAATTCTTTTTCGTCTTTTTTCTATATAGAAACTCAAATCAGACTGCTTATTAGTTTGTGTTGCTCAACAACACACCTTTTCAGGCAAAGTGTATTTTTCTTTGTATCGTGCCACATTTCCCCCCTTCATATTATCAAAAGTTTTCTTCCTTGTTAAAAGAGACTTGTATATACGTATCTACCTGGTCCTAAGAATTTCCTTTACATATTTCATGGCAGGTTTTGTAAGCGTACTTGGTTAAAAATGCTACTGATGGTGCTGCTGTTTTCCATTACCATGGATATTGTATAAATGATATGACTTACGTACTTGTATTTAATGGCATAATGCATTTGATGCAAATAAATGTGCCTTTCACACAACTGTATCATGGTCGGTCAGTCAGTCAGTCTGTCTGTCTGTCTATCATCTACCGGCTTGTCTGCCTGCCTGTTTGCCTACCCACCTACTTACCCACAATCTGCAATATCTACACAAATGTTTTCATACATTTACATCATCTGAATTCAACTTAAATTCAAAACCTCAAACAGACTGTAAGGGAATTCATTCACAATTTAAATGTGGATGTTTAAATCATCTTAATAATTTAACTTTAAATTTGTATTTTTAAAACTTTTTTTTATAAATGTAAAGAAAATAGTTATCTGACTCTGTAGAGTCAGAAAAGCAGTTGTGTACACATTTCCTGTCAGACATTGATTTTTCTGATGTTCCCTTTATAAACAGAGGCTTCCTGAGTTTTTCAGATCCTCAGGGGGTCTTTCCAAAAAAGCACATAATCATTGCACATAAGGGTCCAAGTAATTTACTTCTCTCTTCACTACTCCTTCTCTGTCTAAATTGACCAGCTGAGCAAACAGTCTGAAATGATTAGGAGCAAATTAAGTGCTCAGCATTTTTGACACACCTTTGAACTACTAAACACGGATGCATTGATTGTCTTTATATAGTAATACAACTTTGACCACCGCTTACATGCAGAGAACTCTGAAGAAGTGTAATATTAGCCATGGGGAATTCAGTATGGCAAGACAGAAAGGAAATGACAGTTCAAATATTTCTATACATAAAATGAAATAATAACATAATTTTATATTCATTAGCCATCTCAACCATTTCTATTCCAATTAATTATTGGAGAACAATAAAAAAGTATATTAATGTGATTGCTGTCAATTATATGTTGCCTATGGCCTGCCAGGAATTGGGTCATGCAAGTGAGTGAAGCCCCATCCTGAATCCATGTGGGATTTAGGCAGTGCACAAAACTGCACCTTTCCCTGATCCATGGGCAAACTGTCCTCCACAGAACCACTCACTGTCACCCAAATATTGGGGGCTGCTGAACTACAGGATGGCCAAAGAATGTATACACTATGTACCACTTCTTGAAGAAGATAGCATATATAGCATACAACAGGTACTTACGCTTTCCTTCCTTCCTTCCTTCCCTCCCTCCCTCCCTCCCTCATATTTCATTGCTGGTTCTTACAACAATTTTACTATACCAACTAATTTTCAAAGAGAGAGAGAGAGAGAGAGAGAGAGAGAGAGAGAGAGAGAGAGAGAGAGAGAGAGAATGAAATGATATAAAGAGGCCTTTATATCATTCCATATTCTCTCTCTCTCCAACAAATATGTTGTTCCCTATATTTGCTTAGTGACTTCTTTGTTTACAAAAAATAGAACTGAAGAGAAGTTGTCTGGAATCAAAATAAGATGATGAAAGGCTTTTTTAATGTTTTCACGAAAACTCCTCACTTAAGAGGTAATTATTAACATAAATAACTACAAAGTGGAAGTAAAGTCAGCTTAAATATTAAGATACCAGTAATGCCAATCAGCAGGTTTGCTGAATTTTTAAAGTGGCAACAGTAAAGCGAATGTGTTAGTTAGTTTGTTTTGTTCATCCCAAAAATAAATAAAGATTAACAGTGTATTGCAGAAGTTAAGAGATCAATTATAAAAATAACAAATTCAGAGAAGGTCATGAAGAATAATGATATTTTTGCAACAACAAAGATCAGAACCATTAAAACAATAGTTACAGCTATGGAGTCTGGCTGCTGACAAAAAGGAAGAAAAAAATAAATGCCTTCAAATTGTGTATTTAGAGATCTATCACTCTATTATTTTAAGGCCTCTCCTTAAAATAATTATGCATTGTTTTTTGATACAGGTTGAAATAATGGATCAGGCCCAACTCAATGGCTTTGAACTATATTTATTGATTTTTGAAAATTTATCCTTCAGCCAATTGTGACTCTTTGTGACCTCATGAGATATTGAGACTTGCTGCTAGGGTTTGTGTTTATTTAATTGTGAATGAGTGCCAGAAAACACAGAGATCATTATATACTTTTAATAATTATTTTTATTATTTGTAATTATTTATTTTTTAACCTTATTCTGACTATTTAGAGATGTTATAACATTTCATTTACAATACAATGTATACAATTTGCACAGGTATTAGAGTGTGATTCTTGGTGCTTTCTGAGCATGGTGGGTTTGTTTTTGTAGATGTTTCCTTATCAAACTAGGTGACACCATCACTGCACTGATTATGTTTGGTAATGAAATTCTGCAAGAAAACCACTAAATTCAGAGAGCATCAAAGATCCCACAGTTCAACCCTGAGCTGCAAATATTCCCATATCTGAACCTTTTTACTTATTTTTTTCTCATCTAAACCTTTCTCTGTTCTTGGTCTCTCTGTCTCTGTCTCTGTCTCTCTGTCTCTCTCTCTCTCTCTCTCTCTCTCTGTAAAGCACAAAATGGTTTAACGTTTTTGTAAGCTTTCCTGGAGGCCTATTTAGTTGAACAGCATGACATAAACATTATCAATCAATCTGTGAAGACCTTAGAGGTGATTCATTTTAAACCCTTGCTGATGCTTTAGTTCTCTTCCCACTTCTCAAATAAGTGAGCACATACCACAATTTAAGAACCTCTATTGGAGGGGAAAACACCACCATGGAAAACAGTCTTTTCCAGAATGTTACAACTGACATTCCTCTTCTTCATATTATCTTAACTATATTGTAATATGAGTTTTATAATTCAATAGATATGAATGAGAATGTTGTGGGGATTTTTTATTTTTTGCAAGAACAGCACATGTTACAAATGTCTTCAAAAATGGGTAACATACTCATTTTCAATACAGAAATGAATCATCTGAATTGGTAAACTGAAATTAAATTGGTCCTGTGGTCTATTGTGACATATTTGAAGATGGTTCAACATAGGCATTACCAATATCTGGTATGTAAGATAAGAAAAATTCACTGTTTTTTTTTAAAATCAATTTCCATGTGGCATGATACAATGAACATTCAAACCCAACCATTCTTTTAAAAATATATTTACACTCCTTCTCTGACTTACTCTACAAAACGTCTTAAAGGCACAACATGGTGTACAATTAAAAACATAATGCAAGATACTGTGTTAATGAAAGTTTCTACCTTGATGCTGTTCTGATAATTTTTTGTCTTTTGCAATTATGGAAATCAATAGGTTCTTTCAGCTCTGCTTCCTCATTCCTTGCAATTCAACTGTTTTTTGATTTCAGTTACTATACTTGGATCCTTGCATTAGATGGAGATTTTATAGTTAAGGATAAATTTAAACATTTCCTACCACCATCCGCTAACTCAAGGTGACATCTGCAAAAACTATCAGGCTCTCTGAAAGTTTCCTCGTTATAAGTGTGTTGATTACATTCCAAACAGGCCATTTTATTACGCAAAGCAAATTTATGTCCGAGCTGAAAGGACAGTTTCTTGGAACCTAGACTGTAACAGACCTTTTCCTGATAGATTTTTTTCCCCTCTCTGAGCAGTATTTAGCAAAAACACCAGATTCTAAATATAACACAATAATATTTTATTTATTTATCAAAATGACATGGCTGTCCATCTCACAAATGTGGCTCTGAGAGGTGTGCAAGAATACACATATCAAAAACAGTATTAATTAAAAATTTAATAAACGTAAAACAGACAAAAATTGTATTAGCAAGAAAGCCAATTCATGATAGCACTGGTTCTTTCAGACCCCCTGAATTGACTCCCAATGCCTCCAGGCCTGAGACAGTGAATATACAGTGAATATATAGTGAAAAGTGCATGACAGTGTTCACTTGTTAAAGCCATGACTTTCACAAATACAATTACAATAGCATTCTACTTTTATATTAGTAAATTGAAGTCTTTAT